GACAGACAGACAGACAGACAGACAGACAGACAGACAGACAGACAGACAGACAGACAGACAGACAGACAGACAGACAGACAGACAGACAGACAGATAGATAGATAGATAGATAGATAGATAGATAGATAGATAGATAGATAGATAGATAGATAGATAGACAGACAGACAGACAGACAGACAGATAGGTAGGTAGGTAGGTAGGTAGGTAGGTATGTATGTATGTATGTATGTCTGTATGTATGTATGTATGTATGTATGTATGTATATATATATAGATATATATATATATATATATATATATATATATATATATATATATATATATATATATATATATATATATATACTACAAACAGACAGACAGAAAGGAAGAAGAACAACAGACAGACAGAAAGACAGTTAAACAGACAGACAGGTAGACAACTAGAATGGCAGACAAAAAGACAGGTAGACAGAAAGATAGACAGACAGAAAAATGAAAGACAGAATGACAGACAGGCAGACAGGCAGACAGACAGACAGACAGACAGACAGACAGACAGACAGACAGACAGACAGACAGACAGACAGACAGACAGACAGACAGACAGACAGACAGACAGACAGACAGACAGACAGACAGACAGACAGACAGACAGACAGACAGACAGACAGATAGATAGATAGATAGATAGATAGATAGATAGATAGATAGATAGATAGATAGATAGATAGATAGATAGATAGATAGATAGATAGATAGATAGATATCAGGAGACAGACAGACAGACAGACAGACAGACATAATGACAGAAAGACAGACAGACATAACGACAGACAGACAGACAAAAAGATCAAAAGACAGATCAATAGTACAATAGATAGAGTAGAATGATATAAAAGATGGTAGAGATGGACAGATTTTTGTGACAGACAATGATAGATACATGATTAAAAAAGATCAATCAATAGATCGATAGAACAAAAACAGGACATGCATAGGCTATATTTTGAACTATATTGTTGTATTGTTGTATTGCTATATTGTTGAATCTGAAACAAAGTGAACCTCTGTAGAGCAGGTTTTCTCCTCCACTGCCTGCTCCGCTCACGAGGGCTCCGAGTGGGTCGTGCTCAGTGAACGGAATGGGTTCAGGCACAGGCTTCTTCTCACTCAGACCCAAAGGCCTCAGGAGAATCCCGAAATCCTCCAAACCTGTGAGCCGGTCTGAGTCGGAGTCCTCCTGGTTAACTGGATCCCATTCATCTAACAAACACACATTTACATCATCAGACATTAACAAAATAAACTCCACAGGTTTTAATTATTCACCGGTACAATATACCTTCTGATGTACTGTCCAATTGACCAATCAGATCAGACACCAAACCTTTTGCCCTGAAAAAGATTTTAAAAAATAGAATAAGTAAAAAAGTTTTTTTATTATTATTATTTTGAAATGAACTCATGTGATCAATAAAAAACATGATTGGTGAAAATTTGTCATTTCATAATTATAAATTATGAGTAACTAATAACTCTTCATATATAGGTTGTTAAATAGCAAAAGTAGCACAAAAAAATCATTCACTCTCACCTGTCCTGTTTGGAGCTCATAACTCCCATGTTTAAGGCCAGATACTTTTCCCTGCATGTACTGCACAGGAGGTAGTATGGGCTGCCGGATCCACATTCACCGCCGAACCAGCCGTCCACATAGGCCCCGTTGCTGCGGTAACCCCTGCGGCCGGCGCTCTGACCACAGCCTGGGTGATGGCGCTTCATGTGGTTGTTGAACTGCAGGGTGAGTGTGTTACACAGCTCACACTCCACCATCTCATGTGGCTCTGGGTGCTCTTCTCTTCCCTGAGACAAAGACAGATGCATGTTTACTCAATAATGTGATATTGAAAAAAATACAAAGCAAATCTGCATATATAGAAAATAAAGAAATTAAAAATGCTTAAAAAATTTAAGAACAGAGAATAATGATAGAAATACTGTATACAACAATAAATAATAGGCTGATAAACAAATGATAAAATGAAGGGGGGAAATGATCATCAAATAGAGAGTGAAACTGAACTAATCATTTGGAGCATTTTTTAAATTAATGAATAAATGAGGGAATGAGTGAATAAAGGGGGGAAATGATCATCAAATAGAGAGTGAAACTGAACTAATCATTTGGAGCATTTTTTAAATTAATGAATAAATGAGGGAATGAGTGAATAAATCTGTGAATGAATGAATGAATGAATGAATGAATAAATAAATAAATAAAATGAATGAATGAATGAATGAATGAATGAGAGCATGTTTGAGAGCATGTGTTGAATGAATAAATGAGTGAAGGAGTAAATAAATCTGTGAGTGAATGAATATATGAATTAATAAATGTTTCAGCAGTGAAAATTAAACCACACTGAACTGAATTAAACTGAACTTCAACTCTGAAAACTGGACTGACACGGATTCAATTTAAAATTAGAAATTGAATTAAATTTCATTTATTTGAATTATATCTGTGAATAAATCAGTGAGTGAATGAATGAATGAATGAATGTTTGAGAGCATTTAAATGAGTGAATGAGTGAATAAATCAGTGAATGAATGAATGAATGAATGTTTGAGAGCATGTTTAATGAATAAATGAGTAAATTAATGAATTAATCAGTGAATGAATAAATGAATTAACGAATGTTTTAGAGGATTGGTTGAATGAATAAATGAATAAATTTGTGAATTAATCTGTAAATGAATGAATGAATGTTTTATTTAGAGCATTGGTTGAATGAATAAATGAGTGAATAAACCTGTGTGAATGAATGATAGAATACGTTTGAGAGCATTTGTTGAATGAATAAATAAGTGAATGAGTGAATAAATCTGTGAATGAATGAATGAATGAATGAATGAATGAATGAATGTTTGAGAGCATGTTTAAAGAATAAATAAGTATATTAATAAATTAATCAGTGTATGAATGAATGAATGTTTTAGACCATTGGTTGAATTAATAATTGAATAAAGTACTGAATTAATCGGTGAATGAATGAATTAATGAATGTTTTAGAGCATTGGTTAAATGAATGAATGAGTGAATAAACCTGTGTGAATGAATAATAGAATATATGTTTAAGAGCATGTGTTGAATGATTAAATGAGTGAATAATTCTGTGAGTGAATGAATAAATGAATGAATGAAAGAATGAGACCATTTGTTGAATGAATAAATGAGTGAATAAATCTGTGAATGAATGAATGAATGAATGAATGAATGAATGAATGAATGAATGAATGAATGAATGAATGAATGAATGTTTGAGAGCATTTGTTGAAAGAATAAATGAGTGAAAAAATCTGTGAATGAATGAATGAATGAATGAATGAATGAATGAATGAATGAATGAATGAATGAATGAATGAATGAATGAATGAATGATTCAATCAATGAATCAATGAATGAATGAATGTTTGAGAGCATTTGTTGAATGAATAAATAAGTGATCAAGTGAATAAATCTGTAAAAGAATGAATGAATGAGAGACTAAACAAATGTTACCTGGGCAGTTAGATTAACAAATTGACAAAATTCAGAGAGAACAAACTAATGAATAACAAACACACATTATAAAAAATGGAATGTAGAGAAAAACTATTGAATGAACAATGAACAAATGAACAAATATCAGTTTCACTAGAGGGAACAAACAAACGAGAAAGTATTAGAACAACAGATACAAAGGACAAACAAAAGTTAGAGAGAAATTACACACTTACAATATTTAGACAACAAGTGACAGTAAAAGGGAAACAAATGAGTTGTACGAACAAACAGTAAGTTACAGACTAACAAGAATTAAAGAGAAACATTAGTTTGAGAGAACAAACTACTGTATAGAGTGGGAAAACATTGAACATGTGTAAAGGCCTGAGAACAACCTCTAGTTAGTTATGCTGGGTTCACACTGAAAGCTAATTTAAGTATTTGTTTGAGTAAATTTCTTACAAAGTAAATGCAAACAAGCAAATAAATGCAAATGTACATCGAGCAGCATAAATGATATGAAACTTAATTGTGTCTTTGGTGCAAGTTCAAAAAATTCAACTCCAGAGGAAAAAATATTTGTGAGTAATCTAGAGATAGTGACGCAATGCTTCGTCTCTGGTGTGACCCCAGCATTAGTTAGGGAGAAGCTGTAGTTACCTCTACCATCCAGAGTGTGTCCCTCTCAGAGGTGATGAACTCTGGGGTAAGCAGCTCCTCGTAGGGCTCCTCCTGGTATGGATCATCCATGTAGCCCAGCTCGGAGTCTTCTTCAGCAGCAAACGGGTGCGTTTCAGCCCTCTCCGGCCATTCCGCCACTCCAACCTCCTGTCTGTACAGCGCTGGAACAGGACTGGGTGACGGGGAGTCTGAAACAGGCAAGAGCGAAAACATTATAGATGTATAAAATACTGATTAGTAGGGACGACACGGCAGGTAAGAATTACAAAAAAATAAAATAAAAGTTTACGTTCTTGTCAGTTTTGAGATTTTGGTCTTTTAATAAAGTGTTTTTCAGTTTAATTTTAAGAAAACATCCAAAATACATGTTTAAAGTTTCACACTTCATCAGCTCTGCGGAAAATGTTAAAAGGCTGTTTCCTCTCTGTTTAGCTGCACTTATGCCGAGTTCAGACTGCAGGATTTTCACAGTAGTCATGTCACAGATCTTTTTAAACTGCATGACTATCTGAGCTAGTTATTTGTCACTGCTTTGTTTACACTGCAAGATGGATCTACGACAGGGGGTTTTACACTGTATGACTTTACAATAGAATCGCTTTGTCCAAACTACATCTCACAACAAAAAACACATAGTATATCTTTTGTTATTAACAACATACTGAGAAAGAAGACTTTAATGGGGTAGAAAAAGTACATGTTTGCTTATCTGGGTTTAAAGGGAATTAGCAATTTCTCCTCAAATGTATTTATTTTTTTTGACCCGGTTGTGGTATTGCTCACATGACACATCAAACAGACACGGGTGCTCCTGCCAAATTTCTGCTAGTTTTTCCTCCATTTCTTGGGTCCAAATAAACTGAAAATGAGCACTTTTAACTTCTCCCTCAACCTCCCACTGACCTGCAGGTACCCATACTAATGAAATCTGCTCTCTTATTGGCTGTAGGTGATCTCTGATTTGAATCACCGACAGCTCCAGATATTTAGCACGCCAAATATCTCACAGGCATCAGCGACTCATCGGCATTTCTCTTAGATCGCGACTTTGATAGTTCACTCTGTGTGATTGTCACTCACATGCACGAGCACCGATTTGCCTGTGATTTCAGCCATTTGTCTGCAATTTCTCAAAACTCCGAATTTCTCTGAACTCGCCATTACTTGCAACAAACTTTACATTTTTTTTTTTTTTTTTTTACAGAGGAATTTTTTAATGCATAATTTGCCTGATTTTACTTTACTTTTTTTTCAGGCTGTTCAGAGCGTAAAATAAAATATCAAATAATATAAAAATAAAATAAAATAAAAATAAATAAATAAAAATAAATAAAATAAATAGAATAAAATAAAATAAAATAAAATAAAATAAAATAAAATAAAATAAAATAAAATAAAATAAAATAAAATAAAATAAAATAAAAACCACTTCCTCTTCTTGTCAAATTTCTGAAAGTCTCTTCAATCGTCACTTTGGACAAAAGTGTCAAATCACTAAATGTAAAATAAATAAAAAAATATATAAAAAAAAAATAAAATTAAATTAAATTAAATTAAATTCTGACCTGCTCTCCTAAAGGACGTTCTTTGTCCTACTCCAGACCGCTGTCTCCGTGCAGGTGGAGGTCTGTTTCTGGTGAGGTGAACATCTAAAAAGTTCTCTCTCTCCACCAGGTCCAAACCTGCTAACAGACTGGAAAATCCATTGGAACAATGAGGAAAAGTGTTTTGACATTAGTTTTGGCTCTTTATCTTCATCTCTGTTTGAAACAAGCAATTGCAGTAATTTGTATTTATCCAAGTAGCCTGCTGTATGTACAGTATACAGACATGAAAAAAGAACCACTTAATTAAAAAAATAAACATTACAACCTTAACATTGGGAATAGGCTTATGTTTAAAGAGCGTTTTGAACACTGTCTGGTAACGTGGATGCTTCAATTTTACCCCAAAGCCTTATAGATTGCAGCTTTCATATACAAGAGATGAGATTTATATGTTGTATATTAGTTCTCTTTTACCTATCGTTAGGTTCACGGCTGTCCTGCAGGGTCAGAGGTGCAGGGGACTCAGGGCACTGGACCGTCTCGGGCCCTTCAGATGAGGGTGTATCAGTGGCGCCCCCTGTAGATGAACCCTCTCCTGCCTGCTGCTCCTCTGCAATGGGGTGCTCCAGCATCCAGCTCGCCAACACCTCAATGGTGCGCGAGTCCACCTCACCCGTCACTCCTAAAAGAGGTCACAAAGAGCTCAGGGAGAATAAAAAGAAACGGTTCAGACAAAATTGACTGAATTTCCACTACCGGTCAAAGTTTGGGGACAGTTTTTTTAATGTTTTTCTTTTTATTATTAAAAATCATTCTGTTTGTCAAGGCGGAATTTATTAAATGTAAAAGAATTAATTGTTAAATATTTATTAAAATTTCAAACAACTGCTTTCTTATTGTATGTAGTTTAAAATGAAATTAAGTCCAGTCACTGTTGCTTTTATTACTATTACCATTAATAAAATTAATATTAGGAATAATAATATGGGGGGAAAGGAATTTATTCTTATCACTTTTGTGTCTTTTAATCGACCAAAATGTTTAGACTAACAACAGATTAATTTAATCTTTTTCTTTTGTATGATACCATCTCTTAACCAAACATACTTATTTTTTACTGTGTTGCATACTTCTTAAAAGGAACTGCAGACAAGGGAAATAGCAGTATAAGAATACATATAGTGGTGGGGGCTTGCTCCAGACTTCTGTCTAACAAGAAGTCTAGACACGTCACAAGGAGCTGGACGCTTGTAGGAGTTGTAAAATATATTAAAGATGCATTTAACTGTTCAGTTCTGGTATGCAGAGAAGGGTTGCAGGAAGAGGAAGTATGTTTGGGTGCAACAGCCAAAAGACTGCAGAATGACTGATAAGTGACGTTACACCAAAACTCCACCTGTTAATATCAGTTGTGTATATATGCTGGAGTCAAGTAAATGTAAGTTAGTTGCAAACCTCCTGAATTTAATTCTTGTATTGCATTGGGGTAAAGTACCCCAGAGCTCTGTCATTGAATTCATTTGCATCAAATAAAGTACTAATATTTTTGACTCTGAAGAAAACCCTCTCCTGACCTTTTTATTGAACACACATGGAATTGGCTAGATGCTCCAACAATAATACTAATGATAATAATTAATATTAAAGTGATTTCTAAAGGATCATGTGACTCAGAAGACTGGAGTTATGAAGCTTAAAAATTAATCTTATTTTACGGTGCAATAACATTTCACATTTTTACAATGTGCACTGTATATTTGATTAAATAAATGCAGCCTTGGTGAGCAGGATAAGCTGATTTTAAAAATCCTACTGACCCCAACCTTTTGACTGGTAGTGTATGGTTTAAATCTTGTGACCACTTAGTCACTTTTTGTGCATATAAATTATGTTATTTAAAAATCTTCAATTTTAATAAAAATGTAAATTGACTACAATTTTAACAAAATGGAAACTGACTTTAAAATTGTTAGATCAAGCAGCCAAACATGGTTTGGGTAATTCAATTATTTATTTTAATCATAATAAATGTGACCTTTTAAACTATATTTATACACAAATATCTCATTTAAATTAATATTTTTCTATAGGATGTTTTACAATATTATATTTGTACATATAAATCTTGAGCTGATCAAAAAAATAACAGTCCAAAATTAGAACATCTAAATGTATATGTTAAGGTAAAAATTTAAATAAAAAATGTAAAAAGGGCAAAGTTTGAGAGAAAAACTTCCTTAGTTTGTATTTTTGGTCCCACTTTATATTAAGCAGCCTTAACTGATATGTACTTACATTGAAATTAATAATTTAGTACATTGTACTTATGATAATTATTACTCATGTTTTTAGATTGTATTCATGATTGATTAAATACATGCATGTAATTATATCTATAACTCATTTCGTTAATTACATCTTTAATTAGACTGTTGACCATCCCTTACATTTTAACCCACCCTTAAACATAACCATACCACCAAACCCACCCCTAACCCTACTCGTATCCTACCTCAAGAGCAGCACAAGTGTTCTGCAATACATTATCAACACAGTAAGTACTGTACATTGTATTTATTTTTGATGCAAGTAAATAGTAGTTAAGTCCACCTAATATAATGAGGGAGCGTATTTTCCCCAATATTGCGCATGCATTTAAATCCATTACGTTTCTATTTCTTAAAAGTTTGTTACTTTAATAAATAGATCTGTTTAATAAATCTGTTATGTTCAAACACACTAAAAAATATGACTTATATTCACTGAGAAATGGATAAAAATATTCATTTTCAAAAGGGATGTACTTAAAGTATTTATGTTAAGAATTGTGCGTTTTCTCTTTTTTTAATTTGTTTTTTATATGCATTTGTTTACATGTAAAATATTTAATAAGTTAATCTTAATTTAAACTTTTGCTTTGCTTTTATTCAACAAATACAACTCTTGATATGTACATTACTAATATTTTTAATAAAATTGAGCTAACATGAACTAACAAAGAATATGTGCATGTTTATTAACTGACATTAATGATCATTGAAAACTGTAACAAATGCATTTTTCATTGCCACGGTGTTCTCTTTTCTTGATTGCAATATGATGCAATCCAAATCAATTGCTCACAAATAATATGCAAACAGTGTAATTTGGTTGCTGAATTTTGCTGAACTGTAGAACTAACACTTATAACACAAAATAAGATGTCGTGCTGTGCTCCACTAATAATTTCCAATGATTGAGTCGAGTGCTCCAGTAGGGAAAACAGTGAGGGGTGAAGCAGGATCTCATGAAGGGAAAGTGTAATGAGTGAGTCATCAACAGCTAATAATTAAAGAGAAAAAAATCAAAAGAAAAAAAATCTTAAAGAGATTTATTCACTTGAAGAATATCTATTCACCATTTACTCAACCCTAGTTCCACTCGTAGTACCGAACAGATTTTTTCTGATGAATGTTGGAAACCGGTAGCCATTAACTTCCATAGTGACAACAGTGCCAAAGGCTACAGACTTCCAACATTTTTCAAAATATCTTCTTTTTGTGTTGAGCAAGACAAAGAAACTGAAACGAGATTGGAATAAGTGAAGGGTGAGTAAATGATGACAGAATTTTAATTTTTGGTTGAACTATCCCTTTAAAACACTTGTAGCTCTAAATATCTGCACTGGGATTATTGGTTTTTAATTACTGATAGCTTGATACATTCGACTATTTTCAGATGACTGACAGCAGGTATGAATGGCTCTGGTACCTGCCGCCTCCATGGCCCTGTAGATGTGTCTCATTGAGAAGCCCATTTCAAGCAATCGAACTGGGACAAACATTTGGGGCTGTTCTGAAGGACAGAAATAAAATATTACATAATAAATCAGAACGTGTTTATACTCGGCTGACTAATGCAGTCAGTCAGACAACATGATTTTTAAACTGTTTATCTTCAAAATATAGTGTACAAAATAATACAAATTATAAACTTGTTCTATTAATGCTTTTAGATATTCCTTAACTTATTTAAATTTAAAATTTAACACTATATTTAATATATTTAAAAGATTACATTTACAATATAATTTGATTTACACAGCAGTGTATCAATAGGACCTTAGTGATAAGCAAGAATTGCTTTTAAAAAAATATTGTAATCTTAAATAAATAAAAAAAATATACAAGATATATATATTAGGGTTGTAATGGATTAACGGTTGATCCATGACTTTTACTGATCACAATCTACGGTTCTGAACACATGTTACCAACGGATTAATATATATATAACTTGTACAGTAGATTAAAAATACACATGTATGCATTTAGGCTTTACTATAAAATTTAACGATGACGGAAGAAGTTGTGGTAGGTTATTTGCAATGTGTTGGGTTTCTTAGGTTATTTACAGTGTTTTCTGTCACTACTTGTTTAGTCTGTAATATTGCATTCAATGTAAGCTGCATGATTTATCATTTAAAGATCGGGATCTCAACACCTACGCAACCTAAATTATAAATGATGGTAATTTCCACACGTTTATTAATCATTCTGATCGCTGCATTCAAATCTGAAAACACAAAAATCAAGAAAGAGATTGAGTCTTTAATCTTTTAAGTCAGTTATAAAGTTACAAACAGTCAAATAACAAGGAAGAACTGGTATAACAGTTTATATATTAGATAAAACCACTGATGTTTATGGTAGAGATAAAAACACCGTCATGTGCTCAAAAATGAAAGTTTCAAGCAGCAATTACATTATTTAACCAAAAGGCCATAAAAAAATATGCCACTAAATAATAAAAATGACACATTTAGCAATGAAACCTGAAGTTTTATGAGGGAATAACTAAATCATTTATTTAAAAAATCTAGAAATTATGGGTTTTACAAAATATAATGTTAGATTGATGCATTTAGCATTATAAGCAACAGTAGTACTGTAACAGTGAATTTTTCAAAGTACTGAATATTTTACAATTTATTTTTATTCAGCTGATTATTTATTCATTTTATTTTATGAATCCAACAGTGTCTTGCAGTGCTGTTTTTTTACATTTGTTTCCTCCTCTTTTCTTAGCTGATCCAAAAAATTATCCTATCTGTGAGTAAAAAACCATAATGTGATCTGAACCGTGAAAATTGTGATCCATTACACTACTAATATATATAAATATATATATATATATATATATATATATATATATATATATATATATATATATATATATATATATATATATATATATATATATATATATATATATATATATATATATATATATATATATATATATATATATATATATATATATAAAT